AAATGATTACATTATGTCATGTTGTTAATGTTAGCTCACCGGGTTTAATGAAATCCGATATTCCAAAATCAATTGCCTTTAATGTAAAAGTTTCATCGCTACGTTCATACATTAAATTTCGAGGTTTGATGTCACGATGCATCACTCCATTCTTGTGCAGCATCTGCAATGTAAAAGCGATTCAGCAAGTATTTTTTTATTTTTTTAAAGTAGGAAGTAATTCCTAGTTACATGCAAGTTAGGGAGGGGATGCTTGGGGCCGGGATTCCAGGTTAATAATCGAACTTACAATAATAAAGAAAGTGAACTGAATAATTCTACGAATTTCGTAGTAAACTTCTAGACTAATTTTTATTCTCATTTCTTTGAAAAATATGAAAAGATACCATAGGTAGGTATATTTTACATTATAATATTTTCCTAAATTAAAATTATATATGTCATGTTGTGTGCGCGTGTATATCGTTTCCAGGTACGAAAAAAAAGACATGATTATATATAAATTAGGGTATTCAATGCAGGCAATTGATTAAAAGAAAATAGTCCTAAGTAGGAGTAAACTAGTCCCGACATGCACAAATAGAACTATTTTGTTTATCTTACCAAAATAGGATTAAAGTATGTTCTATCTTCCTATTCTACTCTTACCAAAAATAATTAGAAAGTCGTATTTTAATTTGTAATAAAAACATAAAAATAATAAATAATATTTCAATTCATAAAAATATCCAAAAAATATAAAAAAAATTAGAAATGTTTTTTAAAAATAATATAATAATGAAAATTAAAAAATTCTTAAAAATATAAAACTTTAAAAATCATTACAAATAGATAAAACACATAAAATAATATAAAAAATTATAGAGGCCTTTCATGCAGCTTCTGCCACCCCAAGGCAATGCCACCCCTGATTGATAAAAACAATGACATTTTGTGTAAAAAAATTCATTTTGTATTGAAAGTGCCATTCAAATGTCATTTTTCTCTTTAAAATGCCAAATGTTTATCTAAAATTGCCATCAAGAGTCTTGCATATTTATTTACTACGTACATCCTCCGTTATCTTTTAATTGCAACAGTCAACATTTCACGTTTGCCAATGCACAAGTTTGACCATCAATATCTTTCATTTTTTATTAGTAAAAAAATTAAAAAATTCATAATTTGAAAATTTAGAATGAGAAGAATTTAACAATAATTTTTAAAAATTTATTTTAAAATACATTAATAAATAAAATGTAATCAAAGTAGAATATGTGAATAGTGCAAAAAGTCCAATGTTGCATTTAAAAGAGAACGAATGTAATATATGTTAGCCTTTTTTCCCGGTGGTTGGGTTTGGTGGTGCAAAGAGGTTGTTGAGGAGGGAGGAGAGCCTTGCATTTTTTTACTACGTATTTTTTATTTTAATTTTTTTTAATTTTATAGGTTTTTTATATTTTTTATTTTTATTAATTTTATTTAATATTTATTTTCTTGTTTTTTATTTATTTACATTTTTATTATAAATAAAGTTATTACATTGAAATTATGTTTTAACTATTACGTACGTATTAATGAAACATGAGTTATTATTTTATTAAAAAAAGCAAGGGTAAGATGGAAAAGGTAGTCCTATTTAGAGAATTTTAAAGTTATACTCTATTCTTTCCTGCAAAAGCATTTCATTTAGTCGTATTTAATGAGTGTATATTGATTTATTTATTAGATAGACCTGGATAACTTGCACAATAGCCCTGGTAAGGTTTGAAGCCTCCTCCTCTGTGAGGGTGAGGCCCAAGAGCGTCCTTTCGTGGAAGGGGTGAAGCAACGAATTGCCCTTTAACAGCTCCATCACAATGTGGATTTGGTCGTCATCTTCAAAAGCGCCTTTGATGGTGACAACGTTTGGGCAGTTCTGCAAGTGGTACAAGATCGCAATTTCTCTCCTCAGGCATTCAACGTCCTCATCATTCTGCACCAGTTTGGCTTTGACCATGGACTTGCACGCCAGTTCCTCGCCGGAGTCCAAATCTATGCACACGCGTACCACCCCCCACCCTCCTCTCCCCACCTCCCGGCTATGGTCAATCCAGTACTTTTCATGAATGTTATGCCATGTTGGGTTTTTCAATACAACAAGCTGCTGGTGCTTCTTATTGTTCTTCTTCTTCTTATTAGTATCATTGCATGCTAAACTGCCCTCCCCACCGTCAACGGAAACCGTCGTAGTCCCGCTAGCGTTGGCCGTGGTGTTTGAGCACGATTCTGTGCTGCTGCTGCTGCTGCCGGAATCATCATCACTTCCTTCTTCAATCCTAGAAGCTACTCTTGCTGACCCAGGGGCGGATCCAGGAATTTGGGGCTGAATAGATATTATACTAGGTTAAAATATTAGAGGGGTGGGCTAAACGTGAAAAATGAAAAAAATTACATTAAAAAATTTGAAAATTTTCTAAATTGCTTTGGATTTCAGCTTACCATAGCTCGTGCATAGATCCTCCCCTGTGCTGACCCATTAATACCTTCCCTTTTTGTAGAACCGTAAAAAAGTTTAGCAACCCAATTTCCCATCCCTGCGCGTGCCGGCACCTACCTACAAGCTCAAAGCTAATCAAGCTGATATATACATCCTTATTTTTTAACAATTTGAGTTTTCTAACACATCTAAACCCCACCCCTAGTTGCTTAAAGAATTTATATTAGGGGTCTAAGTTGAAAATTTCATGATATGCCCTTGAGACCAGAAATACGGTAGTAATCAAGATTTTCCATAAAATTCCAAAAAAGATTGGCCAATTTGACTTTTCTTGGTCAATGATGTTAAAGTTTAGACATTGATTTTAAGTATTATATTTGAGTGTAATTTATAAATTTTATACTTTTATGAAAGATTTTTTAATAAAGAATAAGCTCATATATTTTTCATATTTTAAATAATTTTGTATGAAAAGATATCATTGGTCAAACTTGACCACCATTGACCAAGAAAAGCCAAATTGGTCAATCTTTTTGAGACGGAGGGAATAATTATAGTACACATGAGATGGTGTTTTCATGAAAACCTATAATTATTATTATTAGAACATTTCATTTATAATTATAATAGAATAAATAATAAGAAAAACACAACTGTGAAATAATGGGAAAAGGGTACTCCAATAGGAGTCCTGGCAGGTATATTTATATTAAATAAGAGTTACCAAAAAACACAAGGATTCCTAATTTATATTAACTATTACACCCCCTCAAGCTGTGCGGGAGATACAACGCGCAGGTTGTCTTTCAAGAAATTAAATTGCTGACTAGATAGAGCTTTAGTAAATATATCCGCAAGTTGCAAGTGTGTGGGAACATACTTCACCAAAAGATCACCATGAGCAACTCGTTCACGAACAAAATGATAATCAATCTGAATATGCTTGCTGCGAGCATGCTGAACAGGATTAGCAGTCAAATAGGAAGCTGAGATATTGTCACAAAATAAATGCACAGGGTCACGGATAGAGTAACCGAGCTCAAATAGGACCGAACGTATGTGAAGGGTGTCCTGTACTGTGTATGCTATGGCTCGGTATTCGGCCTCTGTAGAAGACTTGGACACCGTAGGTTGCTTCTTGGATTTCCAAGATACCAGGTTAGGACCGAGAAAAATAGCAAAACCTGTGGTAGAGCGGGAAGTATCTGGACAGCCTGCCCAATCAGCATCAGAGTAGGCGAAAATACACAAGGAACGAGCTGACTTTTGAAGCCATAATCCATGATCAATGGTACCCTGCAAATAACGAAATATGCGCTTGACAGCAAGCATGTGAGTGGTGCGTGGGGCATGCATAAACTGAGACACTAAATGAACTGCATAAGTAATATCAGGTCTTGTCAAAGTTAAATACTGCAATGCACCTACCATACTACGATATTCCGTAGCATCAGCAAGAAGTTCACCATCAGTGAGGGAGAGAGATGTACGAGTGGCGACTGGGGTACGAACAGACTTGAGAGTATGTAAGTGGAAACGAAGGAGAAGATCAGAAACATATTTTTGTTGAGACAAGAAAACTCCTTTAGAATTTCGAACAGCCTGGACTCCCAAGAAATAATGAAGATCACCGAGATCTTTCATAGCAAAGTGAGAAGCAATACATGTAATAAAAGAGGACACAAGAGATGAAGAATTTCCAGTAATAATAATATCATCCACATATAATAATAAATACATAACTGACTGACCTTGACGATAAATAAATAAAGAATTATCTGACTTACTACACACAAAATTATGAGTAAGTAAGAAGGTGAAAGGAAAAATATTTTCAAAAAATCTAACATGACGACTGACATATACTCTACCTGACTTAGGTTCAAGACAACGATACCCTTTATAGCCAGATGCATAACCAATAAAAACACAATGAACAGAACGGGCTGAGAGTTTATTTGCGGATGAGGCAGAAATATTGGGAAAACAAGAGCACCCAAACACACGCATGAAGGCATAATCCGGAGATTTTTGAAAAAGTCTTTCATATGGAGAAGAGTGACCGAGTAAAGGAGAGGGCAGCCTGTTAATAATATATGCAGCCGTAAAAATGGCATCTACCCAGAATTGACTAGGAATAGAAGCTTCAAGAAGCATAGTCCTAGTTAGTTCTAGTAGATGTCGATGTTTACGTTCAGCAACCCCATTTTGTTGAGGTGTGTCTGGACAGGATTTTCGAAAATAAATTCCCTGAATATCAAAAAATTGCTGCATATTAGAATTTACAAATTCACCCCCTCCATCACTTTGAAAAATTTTAATTCTAGTATTAAAAAGATTTTCAACTAAAGCTTTAAAATTTTTAAAATGAAGAAAGACTTCTGCCTTGGTGCGCATGGGGTATAACCAAGTATAGCGAGAAAAATCATCAATAAAACAGACATAATATTTAAAACCCAAATTTGATAAGACAGGAGATTGCCAAACATCAGAATGAATTAATTGCAAAGGCACAGTAGAATTATGACTAGCATCCATAAAGGGTAAACGTTGAGATTTGCCTAATCGGCAAGAAATACAGTCATGAGAAAAACTAGAGCTACTACATATATGGTGCTGACTTTGTAAAGTACGTAAAATAGAAGTGCCACAGTGGCCTAATCTACGATGCCAAATGGGGCCAGACAAAGCTAGAGAAGACAAGGCAAACGGTGGCTGAGAACGGAGGCTGACTGGATAGAGATGACCATGACTAGGTGCTTCCAGAAGGACCTTCCCCGAAATTTTGTCCTTAACAAAAAAGGAATTTTTATCAAAAATTACGACACAGTTGTTATCAGCACAAAGTTTTTGAATAGATAACAAATTAAATTTAATGTGAGGCACATGAAAAACAGATTTTAGCGTGAGAGGACGATTGGAAGAATTTAAATGAACATCTCCAATATTAGCAATGGGAAGTTTAGAGCCATTAGCAACACTAACTAAAAGTGGTCCAGTGTAAATTGATTTATTAACTAGAATACCTTCCGTAGGAGTCATATGAGCTGAAGCTCCAGAGTCAGGATACCATAAAGCAGTATTTGAGTCACCATTATTAGAAGTCAATAGAGCTGGCGCAGACGGTGGAGCATACCGAGAAGGACACTGAAGCGCAGAGTGACCTGCAGAGAAACAAAGCTGACAGACAACAGGCGGTGGAACAGACCCAAGAATGCCCTCACCCGATGAAAAACCTGTAGAGCTAGCATGAGTATCATAAATAAAGTAGGGATTAATATTTAAAGTTGACAAGACAGAATTACTAGCAGAACCTGAAGTGCCCGGGCGAGTAGATTGCACCCCCTGAATAGAAGCCGGATGTTGTGAGAAAACTTGCGGTCCGAATCCCTGCTGCTGGCCAGAACCAGAGGCTGCCGGGGATCCTCCATGAGATGGCTGAGGTCCGGCCGGCTGCTGTGCACCAAAAGACGTCGCGGCCTGGTGCTGAAAGCTATACGGCTGTTGTGGATAACCTCTGCCGCGACCTCGGCCCTGGCGACCGCGTCCCCTGCCGCGGCCTCCCCTGCCGCGAGCAGCATATCCAGCCGGTGGCTGCCCCCCAGCTGCAGCTACCGCAAATGCTTGATGACCAATGGCTGCCTGCTGTTGACGCTCAGACAGAAGTTGTTGTTCTGCTTCTAGCAAACGCGGTTCCAAAATGTGGAAGGGAAATTGCTCGGGAAATAAAGAGACCGTAGTAACAAGAGACTTATAATCCGGTCCCAAACCAGCGAGAATAGATTGAAGCAGTTCTTTATCCGAGACAGGAGAATTAATTGCCGCTAGAGCATCAACTAAATTCTTGATTTCCCTTAAATAACTTTCCATTGATTGGGTCTCTTTCTTTTTAAGAGATGACAGTAATCGTTTAAGTTCCATGCATCGGGGTAGACTGGCAGACATAAATCTAGTCTGAAGTCTAGCCCAAATAGCAGCGGAATGTTTTAAATCATGAACATCAACTAGCACATCCCGGGTTAGAGTAGCAAACAACCAACATCGAATTGTTTGATCTACTCGGAGCCAATAATAATATTCTGTGTTTGGAACTTGACGATTCTGAAAATCAACATTGTACATAGGGGGTACCTGAATTGAGCCATCAACAATTCCAAAGAGACCTTGAGACACCAGGAAAGATTCAAACTGAGTACGCCAGGTGAGATAATCCTCGACTGCCTTCAATTTGATGGTGACAATTTGAGAAACAGTAGTGATATGGGAGACTGACTGAGCAAGAGCAGACATCGGGGATCCAAAACCCGGTTGATCCACTGGCCGAATTACCCCTGGAGAGCCAGAAAAGGTGGATCCGAAAAAGGAAGGGGCTGCCTCCTGGACCGAACCAGTGAGAGGAATTTGAGGTGGAATCGGTGGTGGAGGGAAGAGGCTTGCCTGCGGCTGGAGTGAAGGTGGCTGCCACGGGAAGCTCTGCGGCATAGGCTGAAACAGAGGAGTGTGATCAGTCACAGAGAAAATTGGTGGTGGGGGAAAATTAGGGAATAACGTCGATGATGTTGGCATCATTCCCGGCGAACCAACGACACGAGAGAAGGCAGCGGCAGAGCGTGGTGTAGAGAACTCTGGCGTAGCGGTCATCTGGATCGGAATTGATGAGGTTGCCGGCGTCATGGAGGAAGGGACTGCTGCGGCAGCCGAGCTCATGGCGGAGGAAGCCATGGCTACGGCACTAGAATCGGCCGAAGATGAGGAAGAACTCATATCGGCGGAAGCGTGAGTTCTAGAGGAAAAAAAAAATTAGGTCTGGGCTCTTGATACCATGTGAAATAATGGGAAAAGGGTACTCCAATAGGAGTCCTGGCAGGTATATTTATATTAAATAAGAGTTACCAAAAAACACAAGGATTCCTAATTTATATTAACTATTAACAACTAGCTAGTAGGGCTTACTTCAAAAGATCAGGCAAATTGTTACGGAGTATTAGTCAAATAGGATGTGTTTTTGATTTAAACATGCATCTATATATATAGCGATCTATATAAAGAATCTATATAAAGAATGACTTAAAACATACGTTGAGTATAACTTGAAATCACCGTGATGGTTAATTTACCGAACTAGAAAGTTTGAATGTGTAATATAGAAGATACGAATTGCATAAATGTCAATCTTTATTAGTTTTTTCATGTTCAAAAATTCGTAATTGCTTGTATAATATAATGACACAAGACTTCAGTCATTGTCTTTAGCATATCATTATATTAATAGAAATTAGAAACTATCTTAAAATAGGAGTATAAGGTTAAGTACCTAAATAAGACAAAAAAACATGCCAAAAAATCATAAATATAACTACCATAGTACCATGCATGTTTCAAATTTCATAAATAGGACTAATCATGTGTGTTTGGACATATATAACCCGGTAGCTTTTAGGAATAAAATAAATATTTAATAAATAATAAAAAATAAAAAATTATGTGTTTGTATTGGGAGGTGGTGAGAAAGGCATTATTATTTTATGATTTTTTATTATTTATTATGAGTTTTATTATTTTTTACCATGCATGTTATTATGAATTAAAATATTTTATTATGAATACCTTTAAGGGTATTAATGGTAGAAAATATTTGTTTAATCCTATTTGTGAATGATTTAGATTTTAGTCCTGTTTGTGTAATTAAGTTTTCATTTAGTCCTATATATTTAGGTTAATTACTATACGATATTGAGCATGATAACATACATGAGCAACTGAGCAACCCGTTTTTCATTGAATATTGAGCATTATTTGCTATTCCCTTAATAGGATTGCAAATTCTTTTCATATTTATTGTTATCGTGCCATGGTTTAGGGATATATCTTTTTAATCGTACTAATTTTTTTTGGTGTAGTCTGATCTGATCGGATTTGGTTGAGTTTGATTTGGTCTGCTCTCGACTGATAGATGCTCGTTCATTCTATGTATTTTTGCAATTGTTGAAATCTGTTTTGGTATGATCTGCTCTAATCTAGTCTGATATTATATGTTTAAGTTTGATATGGTCCGATCTGATCCAATTAAAAATATCCTTGTTGAAATTCATGTATGTTGGCCTGCGGGTATACAGTGACAACAATTCTATCAACCTGTCGGTGCAATTGAAATGTGGCACTACGCCTGTTATATTTGCAGAAGACATGCTATACTGTCAATAATTGATTTTAGTATACCGGTAAACGCAACGATCCTCAACTAATATGATAGTATCTGTAACACTTGAGATTTAATATAAATGGATTAATAGTACTACTCATACCAACAGAGGTGCATCTCCTTTTAAGGGAGCTCATTATCTAAGAACTCCAAAGTTAAGCGTGCTTGCTCGGGAGTAGTCTTGGGATGGGTGACCCCCTGGGAAGTTTCTCAGGGCGCGCATGGGTGAGGACAAAGTGCGCGGTAAAGGCTTGTGGTGGTTTGTGAGGACAGTACTAGAGGTCTGAAGTAACTACCTCGGGTCCCACGGGGCCGGGGTGTTACAGGTGGTATCAGAGCCAGGTTTGCGACAATGTGCTGACCCGTTGGATATCGGGCGGGCATTTTAGCAGGGGAAAAGATTCTGGGGTGTGATTGAGATTGGTTTAAGGGCGCAACGAGGACGTTGCGATCCTAAGTGGGGGTGATTGTAACACTTGAGATTTAATATAAACGGATTAATAGTACTACTCATACCAACAGAGGTGCATCTCCTTTTAAGGGAGCTCATGTAGCATCCCAATTTTATGAGCTAGTTCCTTTAGTTATTATTATTATTATTTCAGTCAGTTATAAGTTTATTTTATGATTTATGTGATTTATTATTTTATCATGTTCTGGTTGTGGCAGGTAACGTTGACCGGTAAGCTCATAAAAAGTTTAATCAAAGAAATAAATACTATTTTAATATTTATTTAGTATATATTTATTAGTATATTATTGAAAGAAGAATATACTGATTTTGTTGGGTCAGAAGCATTTTTTTTAGAAGACTTAGAGGCCTAAATCAGTTATCTTAACCCGAATCAGTATCTTGATTAAAGCCCTAAAAAGGAGTATTACATATGCACGCCCTTCTTCTTCTTCCACCGTTAGTAGCCGCATCTTCCCTTCACTTCCCCAAACAGAGCTATTGCTAAATTAAGTCTTGGATTACATCTCATACATGGTAAATTGAATACTCTATACTTCCTAAAATATTTTATCAAATTCCTAGTTTCAGTTTGTTTCCTCGGCAAATCAATTTCTCTAATGATAGTGGATAAATTCAACGAGTGCAGGAGTAATTTTGAGTTTGTGGTGTGGGGTCATTAATCCGTATCTTTAATTACTCCAATTCGAATGTCATCTAGTTTGAAAAGTAGTAATGGGATTTATTGATCAATTCAGAACTTTTAGACTTAAATTCAGATTTTACTGTTTGAGAAATTTCAGTTTCCAGTTTTGAAGGCATAATTATCTGAAAAATGATTTGTTTAAAGTTAAGCTTGAGTTGTTTCAATTGGTTCTGTTGAAGTAGTTCACAATTAGATTAGTCAAACTAAAGTTTGAGAAGCTTTGTAATCCAGATTTTCTTAGATTTTAACCCCATTCCCTGCTGCCTACATCGGTTTCCAGATGTGTCTTTTTCTTTCCAAAAGGGTTTAAATGGTCTGAATTTCAAAGATCCACAAAGACATCGTTTTTTTTATATATCTAACTAATAGTTTCAGTGAGTGGCCCAAAGACATCATTGTTATTTTTATTAGTTTCTTAAAAGTCAATCCAATTTTCACTTCGTGTTGTAGAGTAGCATCAGGATGTATAAGAAAATCTAATTGTATTACTCCGTATTATATTTAATTAAAGATTTTTAAGGAAGAGCTTCCTGGGAGACGTTATCATCAAGGTGCCACGCTTATTTGAGTATTTTGAGTTCAACTATTAACAGGTAAGTTCACTACCACCTGTACATGTTTGTTCAACCAAATGCAAGAAAGAAGTCTGGTTGATTTTTAATAGATAATTTTAGACTATTTGCTATTATGTGAACTATGTGAATTATGTGATGAGTTATTTTATTGCTAGATTAAGCTATGTTTATTATCTGGCATAGTCAAGATTTGTTAGTACTTTTGTTTCCAGATTTAATGATGTTTTTAGTCAAACGTCACCATAAAAAGAACTAATACTTAAAGTGAAAGATTAAGTGATATGTACTCGGGAACTAGTTCCCTCAGATTAGCAGTTTTAGTTTTAGATAGTCCGATATGTTTAGTGGGTCACTCCACAGTTAAAATTAGCCACAAAGAGTTTACAGAAAGTTTAATGAGATCTCTTTCAGAAAGTTTTACAGAAAGTTGTTTTTGAGATCTCTTCAGAAAGTTTTACAGAGATGTTTTGAGAAAGAAATTTTGAGATCTCTCCGACAGTTTTGAAAAATTATTTTAGAAAATATTTTCCTTATGAGATCTCCCTCAGAATGTATTTGAGAAGTTGTGTGTTAGTTATTTGTTCAGTACATGCTTATAGCCTAAATTTATCTATTGATAAATTGGCATAGACTTCTATATATTTTTGTGGATCCATAGTGACTTACTAAGCGTAAAGCTTATCAGTTTTGTTTCTTCGCATGTACAGATACAAATACTAAGGGTAAGGCCAAGGCCTAGGAAGATGATGAGAGAGTGGAACACGTGCCAAAATGAGTTAGCGGGAACGACCTTGGTGGCTTCTAGCTAGTTATTATTTTTATTTCAGTATTTCAGTTGTTATAATAAAGAGATTATTATTTCTTTATTTTATTGTGGATTTGAGTTTTGAATAAACTAGTTTTCCACCCGTGCGTTGCACGGGGTGTAAGATACAAATATTATAAATCTAAAAAAAATCATTTTACCTCTAAATCAAATTAAGGGTTGTATTATATTTTATCACGGGAATGAGAGTAAACATTATTAAATACATAATAAAAAATATTTGGAGTTTAATAAGCATACAATTTTATAAATTATTGAAGACTTCTTTGTAGACAACATTTTTTGCGGTCTTTTTTCGATTTCCCTCGTCGTCACATATCACGAACTTCAATCCAGACGGACTCGTCACCCTCGAAACTGCAACATATAACTGGCCATGTGTAAAAACTGGGCGTCGTAGAAAAACGCCCACATTCTCTAATGATTGTCCTTGGCTCTTGTTCATCGTCATTGCATAGCTAACCATCAAGGGGATGTATATAGGTCGATTTACTGCATGTATATAGAGAGAGTTGCACGTTTCCTTTTAGAAGTGCAGTTTTCCTTGTAGGGTTTGATTCTAGGTTTGATTCTAGGTGATGAATATACTTACCATTTTCAAGTTTTTATTCTTCAAAAAAAGGTTTCGCATATGATTGAGAGTACTTACCATTTTTAAATATTTCTTTAATAAACAAAACGCTTTTTTATTGTAGAATATACTTACATGTTATTTGAACAGCCTCAAATTTAAGACAAAGAGATGAAGTATGTAGATATTATTATACTTTTTAACAAAGTTCTTTCGTTTTATATATGTATACATATATATATATATATATATATATATATATATATATATATATATATATAGAAATTATATATATGTGTGTGTGTGTGTGTATGTGTGTGTGTGTGTTACTACCTTCATCCCAAAATAATTAGCCAAATCCAAAACTTTGACCAAAACCATTGTAGAACAGCTCAAGTGCCACAGTCCCACTTCCTCATTCATTTCAGTTTGTTGACTCTAAAACACAGAAAATAGTAAAAAAAAAAAAAAACAATAGTCAGAAGCTATAATGTATCTACTGCAGATTTTCTAAGTAATGTTAGCTATAATGTTACTACTCTGCCTATTCAGCATGGCCGAAAATTTAACATACTAATCGATAAGTATGCTTTACAACAAACCTTAGCTGAGTAGGGATGTCATTCTAACTTAATTCTCATGAAGAA